CTTCATTGATATGCTAATAGCTAATAGGTGATATTATATTTTTTGCAAGCATCAATAGCTTTTTTATAATTTTCACAAGCTGCAAGTTTTAAATAATGCGCTCCTTCTTCTTTGTCTTCTACCCCTGCTAAACCTTCATAATATATAATGCCTAAACGATACTTTGCATAAGCATTATCATCATTAGCGGCTTTTTTATAAAGTCCTATAGCGTGTGCTTGATTTTTTACAACCCCATAACCATTAAAAAGACAATCTCCGTATTTCGTATGTGCGATTGTAAAATTTTTATTTGATGCACTCTCAAAAAGACGGGCAACTTCTTCTTGAATCCTCTTGTATTCATTGGGTGCAGAAATTTTATATTTACCATGAAGCTTTTGTTGTAAAAAATGGCCTTTATAATAAATTGCTTTAGGATTACCAAGATCCGCAAACTTGTCAATGTAATCGAGTGCTTTTTGCTTATTTTTATTTTCCTTTTTTGCTTCATTTACTGCATTGTCTATTGATGAGAAGCTTGATTGAGACATACCCCTTTTAAGAGATCTCATACCTGACCTTTGAGAAATCCTTGGGTTATTTACTACATCATGTAAAACTTTAAATATGTCACAGATAGTGGGACGGTTATTTGGTTCAAATTCAAGAGCTAAATAGAAGGAAAATGAACTCTTATATTTTCATTATAATTGACTGTATATCATTACTTAGAGAATAAATTTTTTATTTACCTCGCATCATAATGTCTATATATTTCTGTGGCATGCAACTATTAAGTTCATTTAAGATTTGTTTATTATTAAGGATTGCTTCCTTTATTACATGAATATCACTGTAATCTTCATATGGATTTTTTTCGTTAGAAAGTTCCCAGAGAATAATTCCAAAACTAATTATTTTATAAATTCGAGATAAATAGATATTATTATCATGAGTTGTCACTGAATTTTTTACATAAAGTTCTGATTATATATCATATTTACCTATAAATTTCACTTTTAGAATCATAATTGCGAACAGAGTGATGTTTTCGTTTTAATATTTCAGGTGGTGTACTTTTGATTCTATCAATATTAATTTCAAGATCGTTTGTATCATCAGAATTTAATCGACCATGATAAAAGTTTGTAATTTTAGCATTAAGACTAGTTGTAATTAGAATATTTTCAGATCTAAGATCACGATGTAAAAAGTTCACAGCATTTAAAAAGACTAATGCAATACATATGTCTAATGCAAATTTTAATTTGACTGAAAGATCTAAATGTTTATGATTTGTATAATATTCTTTTAAATTACCATGTTCCGATATTTCCGTAACTAAAAATATTGAATCTGATGAAGAATCATCTTGTAAAATTCCGTAAAACTTAATTATGTTTACTAAATTTCCCAAATTTTTTAAAAGTGCTGCATGTATACACAATAGGCCTTTTTGATTTGAATTATAGCGTTTTAATTTTACAACATTAAGATTGTCAACTTTTTGAATGGAATTTTCAAGAAACTCTGCATCAGAAAATTTCCGTTTAGTAACAAGTCGTGTACTTGTCAATTCAATGATATTAAATATATTATTATCATTCCCTTTAAAATTAAGTTGAATATCACGAAGAAACTAAAAAATATAATAAATGAAAAGTTTAAAATGACATGATTAATAATGAAATCAGTAATATCAAAAATAGAATACCTTTGTTGTTTCCTCAATATCACCATTAACTGCATTTTTAGCTTCTTTATCAATATAAGATTCAAACTTGATGGATGACATGGATTCATTGAATTCATCTAATAACTGTTCAAATTCAATTTTTATCAATTCTAGTGAGAATCCTGAATGAGTCTTTTGCGCACGATTTTTTAATCCTCTAATATTAGAAACAGCTTTAATAAAATCCTTAATCTTTCTAATATTTTGAAGAAATATTTGAAATAATCTATAGTTCTCTGATGTTGCAAAAGTAGCATGATTGCTTCTTTCTTCTTCAAGATTTTTTAAATTATATTCAGCTGAGTTAATGCATCGATTTAATACTCCACAGATTCTTGTGTTAAGCTGCGCATTTTTATAAGACACTTTAATCTCTTCAAAAAGTTTGTAAGCTTCCTTGATACATTGTAACAATGCACTGAAATTAACATATTCTTCCAAGGGTGTTTTCGGACATGATGTGTAGCTGTTATCCCAGTTTTCTATAATTATTTGGTCAAATGATTCATCAAAACTTTGTGCAGACGAACAATTGGAATCACAGTATGATTCTGTAACTGATAATAGATTAATTCATAAAGTTAAAAAGCAACATCAACTGTTCATAAAAATGTTAAACATGTTAAACATGTTAAAAAAAATCACCTACATGTCATCGAGACGTTATCTCCCTGATAAGTGGGGCTTGATTTAAGGATATTAAGACAATTCAATATTTCAGGAATCTCAGGTCTTAGTGAAGGAATTGCAGACCAACACTTTTCATAGATTTTTTTGTAATCTAAAGGTGTTCCATTTTCAGACTTTTCTCTCTCACCCAAGCAAATAGCTACAGTTAAATCATTACCGCCTCTACCATGAAATGGCGGACGACAAGTATATATCTCCCACATGAGCACGCCAAAGCTATAAATATCAGATTTTTTCGTATGTGTGTAACCTTTTTTATCTAGTAATTTTGGATCAACATAAGCTTGAACACCTCGAACTTCTGATATGTGCCCATCATTTTCTTCAAGAAGATATTTTGATAAACCAAAATCACCCAAAAGTGCCTTGCCGTTGTGAACCAGAACATTTTTCGAATGCTGAAATTAATAAAATTGCATAGTAAAAATAGTAAAAGTGATTATTATTAGTACCTATGATTAATACTAAAAATTAAAATAGAAGTATATACTAAATAGAATTTACCAAATCTCTGTGTAGTATACCGTTACTATGCAAAAATTCTAATCCTTTTAGAATAGCTTTGTTGAAAGAAATCTTGTCATCCAATGATAACTTACGTTTGTTATTTATAAGATAGCTTTTTAAATTTCCATTATTTGCATATTGCATTACGAAAATATATTGTTCGTTTTCTATATTTAGTTAGAGTAGAAAATAATAAATACGTACGTACGTACATTAGATAAATGAAGCGTGCATATTTGGTTGAAAAAAATATACATTTGTAATAGTTATACACTGGGTTTTTTGTTTATGAACATTCCGCTTATATCCATCCATGCACCCAGTGTACGATATATCGATATCAACCAGAGTATAAATTAAATTAGGACATGAGTTACGTCACATATAGCAGATATCAAGATTCTACAGAATTTGTATTAGAATTTACATTGTATTGAGCACTTCAGATTGAACACATCATAATACGGTTATAAATTATTAGCGTTAGGTGTCTTATTGGCATAATTACAAACAACTGATAATCACTAATAAAGTTTTTAGAAATTTTATAATGGCATCAACTATATAGCGATAGATCCAAATCTTATAGAACATCGTTTAAAATGATGAGACATCCAATAGGTTGCGTAGCTGATGCTATCAGTTAAAATTCAGACTTTCTCTAGTACATATGGTGCAAGAAATACAATTCTCTACAATTCTCATTTCAAATGTATGTATAAAACAAACAGCACACTAAATTGAGTATGTAATTACTTTATTAAAGTCAATAAATTAAGAAATGGTAGATCTTAGATTTCTTGCACCATATGTACGCACGTCGTGGAATGTAGTGAAGCAGAATTTGTTGAATAATAACCGCTGGCAAAATTTTTAAAGCTGATTGGATAGCATGTTAGACAAATCTTATGCTGCATGTTTACCAAAATTTATGCTATTATCTAATTAAATCTATAAGCTGGTATAAATCATATTCAAAATTTCTTTATTCCATTAACTTTATATATGTCATGTCACAACGATTTACCTAAACGATGTTAGTGAAATTTACCTTGAGATAAACCAAAAAATTGAATAATGTATTCCTTGCAGTTTATAGATTTTCTTAAAGCATATATCTAAAATATATTAGAAAGTTAGTTATATTAACTTATTTATTGCTTCTATCTTATATATATTCTTTCAACTAACCTCTCGAATAAAATCTTTTTTCACTTGTAGTGTATCTTTACGAATAAGATATTTTATTGCTACTTCTTGTTCATTCTCTTTTCCTTTATTCCATATTCCCTTAAAGACCGTTCCAAATCCTCCACTATCAATCAATTTTAAATCACTTAAATCTTTACGCTGGATATCAATATCATAATTGGAATCGGACGAAATAAAAAGATGTGCCATTTACTAGTAAAAAATATAATTAATGCGTATGAAAGCAATGCTAAAAAAAATGGGCATGAAGCAAATTTATCTATTTATGCAAATCGGAATAAATTTTCCGTTTCAAGTAATAAATAGTCATCCGTCAGCTTATAAAGATCAATTGCCAAATAACTTTGTTATTTGTCACACTGCCAAATAACTATGTTATTTGGCAATATCAAGCTGACAGATAACATCGTTATTGGATGTTACACATCAATAAATTGTTTATCTGCAGCCAGATAATGCCGTTTTGTTTGGCAGGAGAAATGAGAATACCGATCTGAAGGATCACGAGGTGATCATTTTGTATGGCAAATAAAAGAAGTATCTGGTTTTGAATTTAATGGGCCCCGAAGCATATTAAATTCAAAGTCATATACACTGTTATTGGGTGCGAAACATCCAATAACGGATTTCTTTTTCTGTTATGAGTTTTTGTGAATCTATTTGGCGTATAAATAGTACTTATACGACTCATGTTTACTATAAAGAAAAATAAAATTGTAATACATTAGCTATTTTAATATTACCTTTTTTGATAACTTTTTTCCGGTTTTTCCTTTTTTATTCTTATTGTATTTTTTTTCGGTTTTCTATTTAATATGTATATGTATACGTTTTTTTATATACCAATTTGTACATTTGTATGCTAAAATAGTTTTTTAAAAAAATAATAATAAAGCATCGAAAATTGTCATGTATAAAATTGGATTAAATTAGCTAGGATGACTAATAAGAACTCCAGTCACATGGTATATATACCACAACGTATGCCATATGACCTGGAAAAAAAAAGTAAAATTCGTTGTTTTATCCGAACTTTTGAAGGTCGCATAACTAATTCGGTTTATGAACACATTAAAATAATCATAATATGGCTTTTCTATCTGGAAGTAATCAGGTGCAATTTATTAGAATAACTGGCGAAATTTCAAAGTTTTGGTAAACTTCTTTAGTAGTAAATTTAAATAGCCATTTCAAGTACAGTTATTAATTAAATTACTTTGTTCATCGTAATGTGGAATAAAGTAATTTGAATAAAATTAAGAGTTAATTTACTACGTAGCAATGATCGTTATAAAAACCGACCAAATCAACTTTATGGTACTGTACGTGCCATCTAATCGCTTACAAATCTACGTATATAGTATTAATAATGATCTCCATCTAAGCCACATACGCAAATTTATAGGAGACTTTCGTATGATTTGCTGTTTAAATCAATTTAATTTTTTTAATTTTATATTATTTATACAGTTTAAAGTACTGTACTTTTTTAAAAAAATAAAACTACCAAGAATAAACAAAAAAGATATATATAGAAAGTCTTATTAAGGTTGTAGGACTTCATTATTAAAATAATCAAACCCCTTTTTATTTTAGAGAAGTTAGCATAATAGCGACTTTTTAAAGATAGATAGATTGGGTTATTACCATAGTCCTACAACCGGATAAACCTTCTATATATTTCTTTTTTGTTTATTCTTGGTAGTTTTATTTTTCTTAAAAAGTACAGTACTTTAAACTGTATAAATAATGTAAAAATTAAAAAAATTAAATTGATTTAAACAGCCTATCATACGAAAGTCTTTCTATGACGTGCCTTTAGCATAAAGCCACATCACTTGTATTAATAAATCAGTTGTTGTGTATCATTATTAAGGGATTTACTTATTTGTGCCGGTAATACAATCCAAAAAAGGAAATTTGATTTTATAAATAAACAAAGCGCGTAAAACACGTATTTAGGGTTGGAACGTTAACATTAAAGGCTATAGCGATAGACTATCGTTCATTATATGTAAAATTTCGTTTCCGACATTTTTAATTAGTACACCAATGCTGGTTTAAACACTAGTTTTTGAGTTTTTTCGCTTTTTCTTCTTTTACACGCATTCGGAATTCATGTCGGGCTGATTCGGAACGATCAAAATTTGAATTCACTGATTGGCTATTTCCTTTTTAGGAGTTTGTATTACCGGCACAAATAAGTAAAGCCCATTATTAAGTAGTACACACCACACTCCGTAAACAGTGCACAAAGTAAAACACCGATCGCTACTGTGTAACTTTGATATTCTTTACTAATTCACTTTATCTGAGTCTGTGGTATTCGAATTTTCTTTTCCTTCTACAAAACTCATGACAGTTCTATTCCAACATTCTAAAATACATTCTAAAGCTTCTATGTTTATGAAGCATTATATTTTTCCTTTATTTACATACACTTTTTTTACACTCCATCTTTATATAATTATTTTATTACGTTTGAAATATTTAGCTTGGCTGCTTAATTATGTATCTAAGCCCTAAATTAAAACATGCTGGAAGATCCTGGATCGGAATACATTGAAATCATGGTCGATTTGCACTAAGGTCATTCAGAATGTTAATAATGAGTCTTGATCCATTCATTAAATAAAATATCCACTTAATAATTTTGCTAGTACATAGTTGGAACCAGCCAACTCTGATGAATTCTAATTCAGAATCGTAAAAAATCTCCACATGTGTTCCGGTTGTATCACAGTAAAATCCTTCGTTTTTGAAAAATGCCATAATATAAAAAATCTAATATTATTCTTAAGATTAGGTTAATGCGTGTTCGGAGCCAATAGGATCATATTGTTTATGTAGCACCGGCAAAACAATAATTCAGATCTTTTTGGTATACTATGTAGCACTTCTAAAGATTTTCTACGTAAACATTTAAATTACATGTGAAAAAAGCATGGAAATTTTCTTTTAAAGAATACTTGTAAAAAACATCATTGTTGTTCTACATGTGTAGACACATCTAAAAGGTAACTTATGAATCGATTTGCACAGAAATTGTCATTCGCTACATTCCGTACAATTGGTGTAGTCAGTTATGGTTGTGACAGGTCGTAACCGTAACTGATACTTCATTCGAGTCCAAACCCAAACCCCCTTAAAATTTAGAGTTAGTGCAGGTCATTAATGTCGGCCAGGTTTTTATATTAAAAAACTTAAGCCAACATCAACATAATTCCGGCCCGTACTAACCCTAAATTTTAGGGTGTCTTTAATGCTTTAGTAAAAAAAAATTCTTGTAAAATTTTACTAAAAAACACATCTTTATTCTGACCTAACCTTTAACCTAATTTTAATAATCATTCTTGGGTTATAAAAATCAGTCAGTATAAACTAATAACTGCAATAACTGACTAATGACTGACCGAACCCACTTGATGACTATATGGGGTTGAGTCAATAGAAATCAAGCAATTTTTTTCAAGTAAATTTTTTTAAAACTTTGAATAACAACTTAACAACAACTTAATCAAAAAAGTTAAAATAAATTCTACAAACTTATAGAATTGATTTAAAATTTTTTTTAGTAAATTTGATCAATTGTTTGTTAAGTTATTAGCATTTAAAGTTTTTGAAAAAATTCAATAAAAACAATTTGCTTGATTTCTATTAACTCACCCCATATGTACGTACAAAAACCACTTGCTTGCAAATAAGGTTTTTCTAGTCCATTTCTCATATTGTGTCTGACGTATTTTGTACAAATATATGTAATACAGAAATTAGTATTTATCTTTTATATATTAAATATAAGGGTATTTTAAATGAAAGTTACGAAATTTTTATAACTTACATGTTTCATTCGTGCAATAAACCAATATGTGGTGCAAGTACGTTCCCTAAAAACATCTAAAATTAATGGCAAATTATTTTACGAGTAACGATTTACCAATAATTTGGTTATGTCGCCACACCAATGGAGGCGAAGTAATTCAATATATGATCATCATACTCGTAAATTCCATTCTTGATATTCTATATAACCTAAACTCAAAAAGGTGGTAACTCTAAAACTCGCTCCGCTTTAGCCGACCTCCCTACATGGAAATATTTTGAGGCTTGGTCCGAATTAAGCATAACTTAGGCCGAAATTTGTAATTTCACCCCTGCGCGTTATTTCGAGTTTTTATGATATATGAATATATCGACCAGGTAAAATCGCCATCCGAAAAAGTTTCGACATCACAGCAAATATATCGAGCACTAAAAAATTTATGTAACTTAACAAATAATATCGATAAGTGATAAATTAATCATTTTATTTATTTCAAATAGCTCAATAAACGTAATATTTTAATATCCTATTGTTTTTTTAAAATGATTATAATCCTCCAATGACAGTTTTTATTAATACTATCGAGCCATTTGTTACTACGTATTTGTTTTCTTCAATAATTTTTCGTTGCTGCGTCCTGGATTCAAATCAATAATCAGAATAATCTTCCAGAAAAGCATTAAAAATAAAATCTACAAGATTTTCTGGTTCAATTGCATTTATTGTTAATAGAAATTTGGTTACGACAATCAGCATATATTTTTAGAATAGTGAGTTTATTGGATTTTATACTTTTAACGATCACTTTTCACTTTAAAAGAATCGAAGAAAAAAAACCTTACTAAATTTATTATGTTAATATTTTACTAAATATGATAAATTGACAAATCACATGATTATCGAAACTTTTTTGGGTAGCGATTTTACAGAGAATATGATAAACATGTAACGTGTTAGCTATGTGGTATTAATAGTGTGAAACTATAAAAACACTACATTTTTATTTCAGTAATAGAGCGAATTCAACAATTTAGAGTCCCAAATAGAGTATTTCGATTTAATAATTCCCCAATAAATAATCGCTAATTCAATAATCTGATAGTTCTCACGACGTAATCTAGAATACTAATCTAAGACCCTAATTCTTAGTTATTCGGACCAAATCTTCCACGCTACGTTCTAAACCTTTCATTATTAGGGTTTAGGTATAGCAGTTTTTGAATAGTATTAGTGTTAGTATTTGCCTTGTAACTCTTAATAATGTTGGTGTTAGAATTAATAATAATAAAAACTATATGTGGATTTTAGAAGGGCTTATATTTTAAAATCGAGATCCCAAATTTTCAGCATCATCTGACTTCACATT